AAGCCCAGAATGGGGAAAGGGAGAAAACACGGCCAAAGCTTTTGACGGTCAAAGGCTGCTTTGTGCTATCATGTTGTGCTTAATTCAAATCTATCTCCCACCCCACAGACACAGGAAAACTTATGAACAAAGTAGTTCACTAAAATTCTCAAAACAATATGTCAATGGCAAGCCTTCTAACTGTTATTTTTCAAGAAATATTCATTTTCTGCAACTGCCTAAAAACTAAAATGTCCCATTTTCTTTAAGTATAAAATATTAGAAATATCATCAACTCTTTAGTAGCCTGCATGTCTTCAGATTAACTCTACAACCAAAACTTCTTCCTGTAAGTAGCCCCCAAAATAGTCTCTTTTTTTTTTCTTTATTCCACAAAGTATCAGTCCAGGCTCTGAATACCCCTTTACTTTGACTTTTCTAAACAACAGATGCTGAGAGGTTTATTAATCTTCTTCAATGCAAAAATATATATTACTTTCTTCTAGAAATTCCATTGCCTTGTGTAAAAGGATGACATTCCTTTCTATGTTCACAAGGTTTGTTTTCAGGTGGACCTAAGTTCTCACATTTCTTCAATCTTTCTTATCTGAATGTTCTATTCTGTTCCAGTCCTCTCTATTGTACTGTCTTTTGTTCAGAGAATCCTTTATCTCCTTTTCTCAACTCACCAACATTAATCTGATTTTACCACCTACATTTTCAGTGGCATGCTTGTTCACATTCATTTGACAGGTATTTATCGTGTGTCTACTATTGTGTATCCTAGCACTGCAGATACAGCAGAGAATAAAAATAGACAACATTTCTACTTTCACATAGCTTATATTTTAGCTGGGAAAGGCACACAACAAATAAATAAATATATAATGTCTAGATGGTAATGGGTTTTAAAGAAAACTTAAGCAGACTAAGAAGACACCCACTAAAGGTAGAACTATCTAGACAGCTTGATTAGAGAGGGCCCTTCTGATATGATGATATTTGAGTAGACGTCTGAATAAGGTGAGGGGGTAAAAGATGTAAAAATCTGATGTATCGTCCTAGGTAGAAGCCCAGGTATCAGCATCTTTAACAGAAGGAAAATTACTTAACTTCTATAAGCCTCAGTTTTCTTCTCTGTAAAATAGCAATGATGATAACATCATTGTTTTGGGGTTATTGTAAAAATTAGAGCTAATGTCTGTAAGAAAGTTTAAAAATTTAGGATACACCGACAATACTTTCTGAAAATTTAGGATACACCCATTATGCTTTCTGAAAACTGCCTAAAAAGCATTTCAGAGTTTATAGCAAATTAAGTAGTTTCTTAAACAGAAGTCTGAAAAACTGACAAATCTCTGAGTCCCAGTATTCTAATTTTCTGGATGTAAGATCTTGGGAAGCTTATATGATTTCTCCAAATGTGCATTTCTTTGTCTGTATAATGGGTTGTGTTAAGGCCGAGCACGGTGGCTCACGCCTGTAATCTCAGCACTTTGGGAGACTAAGGGAGGAGGATCACTTGAACCCAGGAATTCAAGACCAGCATGGGCAACATGGCAAGACCCCATCTCTACTAAAAATATAAAAAATTAGCCTGGCATGGTAGTGTGCATCTGTAGTCCCAGCTATCCAGAAGGCTGAGTTGGGGAAGACTACTTGACCTAAGGAGGTTGAGGCTGCCATGAGCAGTGATAACGCCACTGTACTCCAGCCTGGACAACAATGTGACACACTGTCTCAAAAAAAAAAAAAAATAGGATTAAATAAGTTGATGTATGAAAAAGTCCTAGCACAATGCTTGACCTAAACAAATGTTGATTTCTTTTTCCACAGCTTTTTCTACATTTACTTAGGTAGGGTAGCACAATTTGTTCATATAATTTGATGCACAGAATTAAACATGTTACCTCTTATAGATTAAATATTTAAAGGTGATCCCGTATGGTCACAATGACCTTGAGGTTATTGGGGTATTGGGAGAAGGCAGAGAGGAGCAAGAAAATTAAGTCGTTGGCCTGTGACCAACTGCTTCTACCACGTACTCCAAAAGTAGCCTTTTACAGAATTTTTCTCTATTAAAAACAAAAAAGTTTTTCCTCAAGAAAGTTTGTTTAAGTCAGGAGAGATTTATCGTTTTACCAAAAGTGGAGAAGTCCTTGAAAATACCCAAAGGTATCCTTACTAAAAAATTCCTCAAGAAGTTTGACCTTCCTAAACTCCCCAAATTCCTAATCCCATAAAAAAATGGCCCCCAAAAGGGGAGGGGATGGCGAGGCCTCCAAAAATTACTACATGTTCAACTGTCTGGCTGAATGTTAAAATAAAACATTTTTTAAATAAAAAATTAAAATTATTGCATCCCATATTGATTAAAGGCAAAAAGACCAATGTGTTCAAAGTCAATTGAAGAAAACAAAGGGTGCAAACACAAGATAAAGTAGCATCACTTTGAGGAACTAGTTTAAACCAGAAAGCAAGCTTTAAAACAGAAAAGACAAAATACAATTCAAATCCTGGCTGAGTTCCAAATTTGGACATAAATCTTTTCACAGATGATATGCTAAAATGGGTTTGTTCATTCAGCAACTATTATGAAGAGCCTACTGCATGTCAGTTATCTCTCTGGGCACTGGGGAAGCAAAAGCAGACACAACAGACAAAACCCCTACCCTTTGGGGCATACACATGGATGGCAACAAGAGATGATACACAGGTGAGAGATACGGCAAGTCAGATGGTGATAAGTGCCATGGAAAAAAATAAAGCCAGAAAGTTGCATGAAATGCAGAGTCCACTCGGGAGGATTCCTTTTTTGTTTGTTTGGTTGGTTTTTTTTGAGACAGAGTCTTGCTCTGTCACCCAGGCTGGAGTGCAGTGGTGCGATCTTGGCTCACTGCAACCTCTGCCTCCCGGGTTCAAGCGATTCTCCTGCCTCAGCCTCCCAAGTAGCTAGGACTACAGGCATGCACCACCATGCCCAGCTATTTCTTGTATTTTTAGTAGGGACGGGGTTTCACCATGTTAGCCAAGCTGCTCTTGAACTCCTGACCTCAGGCAACCCACCTGCCTTGGCCTCCCAAAGTACTGGGATTACAGGTGTGAGCCACTGCGCCCAGCTGAGGGCTGCTATTTTTAAGAGTGGTCAGGGACGTCCTACCCAGTACATAGATGACTTTGGGGAAAGATGAAGAAGTGAGTCATGAAGGTATCAGGGAAAGGAGCACTCTAGGAAGAGAAAATAACAAATCTCTTGGAGGCAGGGATTTTCCTGGATTATCAAGCAAGTGCAAAGTGGGACATGTGGCTGGCATGAAGTGAGCCAGGGATCAGAGTAAGGGAAGAAGCCAAGAGGTATCTCAGAGGTCAGATCCAGTAGAGCCCGGGGGTCATTAACAGCACTGTGGCCATCACTCTGTGCTGGAAAGCCACTGGCAGGTTTTGAGAAAGGGACAGAAATGAACTGATATTTAATCTCTACGGATTTGATGTCAGGGTGTATTGGAGTGAGGAGAAATGGACACAGGAAATGATGACAGCGGCTTGGACTACTGTCTTAAAACTGAGATTTTATCCTGAGAAAATTCCCTTTTCTAAGACAGGAGGGACCCTTAAGAAGTGGCTTATTTTGTGAGGTTGGGATGGAGATCAGTTTGAGAAGCCTGTTAGACATCCAAACAGCAATATCCAGTAAAATAAATAAATAATTAAATAAATAAATAAATAAATAAAAGTTAAATACACATGCCAGGAGTTGAGGGAAGTAGTCCTGGCTGGAAAGAAAAAAATTGGGATTTTTCAGAATATAGACAGTATGTAAAGCCTGAGAGATGAGGTGAACCTAGAAAGCAAGTGTAGAGAAAGACACCTGCGCTTCCCTGGGTTCAAGAAGATGAGATACAGGCTGGGTGTGGTGGCTTACACCTGTAATCCCAACACCTTGGGAGGCCAAGGTGGGAGGATTGCTTGAGTCCAGGAGTTCCAGACCAGCCTAGGCAACACAGCAAGACCCCGTCTTCATTTAAAAAAAAAAAAAGTTTTTTAAGTTTTTTAAAAAAAGATGAGACACAGCTAGCAAAGGAGTGGAGCAAGAGCCGCTGGTAAGGGAGGAAGACAACCAGAGCCATGTGAAAGAAATCGTTTAAAGAGGAGAGAGTGATCCCCTATGAGGAAAATAAAATGCTGCTTCTACGTCAATCAAGATGAGGGCTGAGTCATCATATAGAGACAGCAATAAAAAAAAAATAAAATAAAAGATGAGGGCTGAGGACTGACCATTAGGTTTAGCATCATGGAGGTCCTTGATTTTAGGAAGAGAGCATCAGTGGAGCAGGAAAGGAAAGAAGGAGGGGTGGAAAGCTTAGGATAGCAGATACAGACAACCCTTTGAGAGGCTCTGTTCTAAAATGGACTGAAAAATGGCCAGGTACAGTGGGGCACGCCTGTAGTCCCAGCTACGCTGGAGACTGAGGTGGGAGGATCCCTTGAGCCCAGGAGTTCAAGACCAACCAGGGCAACATAGTGAGAGCTAGTGTCAAAAATTAAAAATAATTTTAAAAAATGGATTAAGAAATGGAGAGGCTGCAGGAGAAGTGGGGTGAAGAGAGATAAGAGAAATTACAGCAGAGAAAGGGAGCATTTGATGATAAGGAAAAGGACGAAGCAACTGCTGAAGTAGCATCCAGTGTCAGGCTCCAGAGGAGTGATGGGCTCTCTGACCAAGAGGAGGGGCTGATCTCAGAGACGGTGAGGCGAGAACAACCATGGTAACAGCAGGACGCAAAAGCACTGGCACAGAGGCAAGTAAGAGGCTGAATGTGGAAAGAAAGTCAACCCTCAACGTGTTAGACCAGTTAATGCTGCTGGTCTCTCTGAGAGGTAACTATGGAAATCTATAATAAGCCAAAGCAGCTGCACCCACAGCTGATGTGAACCTGGAAGATACAGCCATGTGAGAGGACCACGTCATTATTATGGAAGGGGTTCTTAGAATTGCCACCCAAGTAGATTCTGTCGGAGATGGGAAGAGAAAGGGAGGAAAGGGAGTGGAGAAGGCCACACACAATCTTAAATTCAATATTTCACTCCCCTTAAAGATAAGCTGTTTATAAGCTCCAGTGTAGGGCATGTAATTCTATGTAAAAACTCTGTGGTTCCTCTTTCCACATGTAAATCATGATCATTCTACATTCTGCTCTCTGGGAGCCCTCAAGGCAAAGAGACAACACGGCTCGAGGTAGAGTAATAAAAGTCTGGGTACTATAAAATCCACCCCGAGCTCCAAGAAAAGAATAGAAAGAAGGAAGCTCTGAAAAGTACTAATTTACCAAAGTACAATGCAGTTTTGTAAATTTTTATTAACATCCTCGGAAATGAAAATGTCCACCTTGATACCTGAGGGGTTTTTTCCCTCAATTATGGCTATATATACTTTAAAGATAAACTATGAATTCTCTTTAAACTAAGTGTCTTGATAAAATAATGAGTATTAAATACATTTCAGACCACAGAAAGGACTTATCACAAGTCTTTGTGGTAGCTGAGGAGTGCCCCCTACAGACTGATATGCACAATGCAAGCAGATGAAGAGGAAAGAATTGAGCAGCAGTGTTTCAGGATTCTCAATAAGGCATCAATGAAAAAAGGTAAGAAACCTTTGCTGAACAAAATGTGACACTAAAGGCTAGGAAATATATGGACACTATGAATTCTTGTTTTCACATATTTGTAAACAGCAAGAAATGAAAAACCTTTGGACTTTTCTTCTATTTGACTCTCACCACCTATTGCCTGCAACTAAAGAAAACACAATGTATTAGTAAAGTCTGTTTTGTTCTTTGGTTACTTCATATCAATATTTGAATACAAATGAAAATAGTAAAAAGGCATTTTATTCTGCTGTGCAAAAACAACTACCTGGATTCAGAAATTATTGACATTAGATGTTAGCAACAAAAATAAAATGTAACATATCTATTAAAATGAAGTTAAATGAATTCTAGTTTGAGGTTTTATATTCCTTTTTGTAAAGACTCCACAGAGAAGTATTTGCCTTCTATGAATTTTATCACTTAAAACGTTAATGATTTTCAAACTAAAAATCACAAAAAGTCATGAAAAACATATCCTATGGTTAGCAATAGATTTAAAAATATATAAATATATATATAAATGTCAAAATGTATTATTACACTAATATTCAATATTACACACTATATAGAATATATTACAATAATATTTGAGAGGCATAAAATTATATAGTATATAACCTTATCATAGTTAATAAATTTCATATATAACAATATACTCCAGTTTAATTTTCCATTTGTGAGAGAAAGGAGACAAAATATATACCAAAACCTTTAAAATTTTTATTAAAGATTTTTAAAAACTAATACTGGTGCAATTTAAATGTACCAATATGTTTGATGTCTTTAAGTTAAACTCAGAATTGTATAAAACCTTACCAATGGACAGAATAGTATTTATCCAAATTAACAGCCTTTTATATGATCTTTGAATAAATGTAGATCTTTGGAAAACTGCATTTAACATCATAAAATGTTCATTTAGACTCAATTTCACGTACACTCAGGAGATATACATAAATGTATGTGATTAAATTGATAAATTATACTTCCAAGCATTTTCATAAAGAATGTTTTTCACACTCAGAAAGAGGCAATTAGGGTCATGTTTTGATGGCTTCTTTTTCTTATGGAATTTAATAAGATATAATCAAATATTTATATATTGCTTCTTCTAAAATTTTTTAAATTGCATAATAATGAAATTAGAAAATATATTCTTTCCTGTAGATAATAAAAGCCAGTGTACTTACAAAAAAACTGTTTGATGTATTAATCTTCCTAAGTGTTCTGCTTATTGACCTAATAATCACAATTGTCTCTTCTTTCCCTCTTCTAATAATATATACATGATGCATTCAGATGTTAAAATGCAGTATTTGTGGAAATGTTAGTTAAAAAATATTAACATATAGGCCCCCAAAATGTGCAGTTCTTTCGAATTAATGAAACTGTTTTTACATGTAATTAACCTCTTGAATGCACTCACTCTCATTATAGAATCCTTGCCAAAATGCAGTATTGCATTTTGGAAGGAAGGAAGAGAAAGGGAAGGGGAGGGGATGGGAGAGGAGCAGAAAGAAGGAAGAGAGAAAGAGGAAGACAGAGGGAAGGAATTAGGCAAGTCAGCCAACTGACTTAGGTAAATGAATCAACATTTATAAACGTGCACATTGTAAAATTAACAATTTTCAGAAGGAATTAATTTACAAGAATCACTTTGATTCCAAAATAAATGTTATTATTCCTAGATAACAAATATGAATAAAAAATCAAATGCCTTAAATATTATACAATGTCGATTATACAGTCTTATCTTGTGGAAATGTACAAAAGTACAATTAAGATAATTTTGAATAAACTTTTATTCAAATTGAAAACACAATTTTATGTTGCATATACTCCTTTGGCGTTTAGAAGATATCATAAATTCAGTTACTTCCTCATGCCCCAGAAAATGCGGATATTTTTTAGAAAGGCTATTGCTTTCATACTGTTTCTAACATGAAAAATGCTACCTTTTTTGGCTAATACAAAGAAACCACAATTAACAGTGAAACCATAAATACTTTCTGTGTTAACCACAAATGGCCTTTCCCATAGAGAAATGGCTTACATGTGTTCTAAATGTGTTTGGTTTCGTTTTGTATGGAAGGAGCTGTGGGTATGTTTTTATCTAAGAAAAGAATATGGCATGCACATGCACAACTTTCTAAAATGAGAAACACTCATTGAATTTAATCGGAGTTTCGTCTGGGGCGGAAATTCAGAATTAAGCTCCATGGGTGATGATTTTGGATTATCTGGACAGGACTTCAGGATCTACTTGCCAAACTTTCTTGGACTCTCAGTGCAACACGAGGCAGAAGGGACCTTCGCCTGTGTCCTATTATTGTAAGTGGTGTAACTATGGGCCGATCTCACCAGGCATAGCCTTCACACACTTTCACTTTATCAGTTTCGTTTGAGTCAGTCCCATACACAACTGTCCACTGCTCGTGACTCTGCTGTGCTTGAGTCCTTTGTGTGTGCCTGTGCGTGTGTAACAGTACCTCATTTTTTCAGTATTTCACATCCTGTGAACATCAGGAAGTCTATGGAAATCTACACATGTTGATGTTTATAATCATTTTTCTATTTGAATATAACATGTGCTGGGTCATCTTTATAAATGTTGGCAACACTCTGAGAATACATAAGAAAGAGGAAGTTTCTTTCAAAAATGTGACCTTTGCTCACTTGTATTACTGAGTCTCCTTGGAAAAGGTCTAAATGGAAATTAAACCAAATTTTTGTTTTGTGGTTTTTCAGTGGTCATATATAAAATTAAAAAATGAGGAAATCAAATTTAACAAATGAACAAATCAAGATTTGTTCAGAATACTCTCTTCCCAATTGAATTTATACCCACAAAATAGCACATCTAAGCAAAAAGATTTCCTCCATAGAAAGCATTTTTTAGAAAACTTTCTGTAAATATGTATCCCACTAAAGATTCATCTAGTCCTCTGTTATCTTAATAAGCTATAGAAGTATTCCAAAGAATAAAAAGGCAGCCTTCTTATCATTTGTAAGCTTAAGACAATAAACTGAACAATTGTTTTCTCATTTTGTTTACTTTGTATGTGCTAAGATAATTACTAATTTTAAAAGAAGAAAACTATAATCTTTGTGGCCCTGTAAATTATTTGACTTTTAAAAAGCTACGTATTCATAGCATTGAAACTACTTTTTTTAAGAAGAAAACATTCAGTTCAGAAATAATAATAAAACCCTTGTTTGACATCATGTAGACAAATCTATTAATTGACCTATGAATTTATTGCTTTTTTGTGAATTTGTGATTAATTTGAATATGGTTGTAAGTAATGCTAATGATCTGTGATTCAAAATTAGGGTTATTTTGGTTGGTTGGTTGATTTGTTTTCTTAAGGATGAAGCCTGGGAATGTGTGGAGGCATCAGTGGGGGTGGGTCACCTTGCCTAGAGGGAGATGTAATGAAATTATCCACAGTTATAGGTCTTTTTATACCAGAGTAACTGTCCATTTACCCCCTTATGTTGAGCTATTAAATATACATAATAAAACTTGGAAAGTCTTTTATTCTGCTTTCACCCATTTACCTTTTTAAAAATGGATTCAAATATATATAGTCAGAAAACCAGTATTAGTCTTTGGTATGTAAGCTTCTCTGTTTGTAACTAAGATAGCTACCTATATTTAAAATATTGTCAGATATATACCACTAAAAGGGCAAGTATCATGAGATATACTCTTATTTTGATTACAGTTTAAAACTTGATTACAGTTAAAAACCTAAAATATGTTCTGTGAGAGAATTTTCAGTATTTGGGGAATGAATGGCCACCATGGGTGAATGCTGAGAATTCTTTTGAAAGGAAATTTCTTACATTCGTTTTATAAATCAGGTGAACACAAAAGATAAGAGTGTATGTTTTTAATACATACAGTTTGATTACAGTTAAAAACTTCAGACAAGGTACATAAAAGGTACAAGGTACATAAAAATAAAATCTTAAACTAAGGAGATAAACCATAAACACTTTTGGCTAATCCTAAGGTGTTTCTTAAAAAGAAATTTTAAGGTGATTCTTTTAAAATCCTAGAAATAATCTTGGTATAAGATGGTGTTATAAGATATTAGAAAACTTAAAAGCTGTCTTATTACACCATCTTATACTTCTCAATATATTTCCATTTACCTTTCCATCTGCAATATTAACAAAAGAAAACAAATATAAGTACGCCACCTATAATCAAGACCATTGTTACTATCACATGAATATTAAAGCAATAATGTCTTGCAAACAGCATCAGTCTTATAAATGAAGTCTTAAAAACACACTCTCATCTTTTGCATTCACTTGATTTATAAAATGAATGTAAGAAATTTCCTTTCAAAAGAATTCTCAACATTTACCCATGGTTGCCATTCATTTCCCAAATACTGAAAATTCTCATAAAGAACACATTTTAGGTTTATTGTCCACCTCATTTGATGCTTCTTAAAGTGAGGTCTACGAACCACTTACATCATAATTTATTTCTGAAACTTGTTAAAATGCAGATTGGAATCTCTGAGGTGGGGCCTGGGAATATTCATTAACCATCCCTGAAGGGCTTCTGACACATTCTGATGTTGGAAACGCCTTCAAATGGCAGCTTCAGGAGCACAGGGCCTTATTAACCTATCTGCCCCCTGCACCTGGACCTGGACCTGGCACAGAAGTGCACTGAGCAGAATGTAGTTGAGATGCATAACTGGCCTCCTGCCTGGATTACCTGAGACCGTAGCAGTCCTTCTCAGCTCACAGCTGGTCAGGGTGGCTGCCCGCATGCTCAAGTTCCCCACAGCATGCACCACGCACCCAGTGGGATGGGATGCATGGGCATGCATGGGCACCGAGGAACCCTCGCTTTGTGTGTTACTGAACTGACCTGACATTCTAACTAGAAGATAAATTCTTGCAGGAGAAAGTTTTGTTTTGTTTCTGTTGCTCATTAAACATTCATTGTATAAGTGTTTATTGAGTATGTACTCCATGCCAAATGCCATGTTTAGAACTGATATGGAGCAAGAATAAAAGAGACATATTTCTAGACCACTGGAAACCCCTTGAGTGCTGGAATGGTTCTCAGGAGGGATAATCCCATACCGAAGTGGCAATTTAGAATTATAGTGTGTATTTCTATCTACTAGAATAGTAGTGTCAGAGCATTTACAGCTTACATACATAGTATCTCCTTATATACTTCCCTTTTGTATTTCTTATATATTACAGTTACAACCTCATAGATCCTCTTTCAATGATGTGCACAAGTAGGTAAGTATTATCTGTTAATTTCATTTAAGATTACTACATAGGGCATCATAAAATATATTTTTGTAATGGATAATTGGGTATAATATGGTTGAAAACCATTAACTTGGTGACTTTTTAAATATTAACTTGGAGATTTCCTTAGCACTAACCAGAGAGATATTTACAAAGTATTTATAAAAACACGTAACTTAATGGATTAAGTAATATAATTTCACTGGTGACCTCTTGACTGTGCTGTAAACTTTCCTTTAGTCCATAAAAGCTTTCACATAGTTCTCAGATATATGCATTAGTGGTCTGTAGTTTAATACCATGTCTCCTCGACTAGGCGACCAAGAGGTTTCATGGTTTGTCAGCTAATTAAGTTAACTATGGCCAGCACTTACTATATCACCCTAAGAACATTCTGACCAACTAGGTGGTGATCATTCTCTAAATGACTTTTTACATTCCAAAGAAGCAAGCAAAAATTACAAAAAAATGTAGGTGAGATTTATCCCACAAGGAACACATATACTTGATATTTTCTTACAGTTAAAGGACAAAGAAAAGAAGTGAAAATTACTCAGATGCTATTAAAAAGCAATAATAATACTATAGCTTGGGAGCTCTTTTCTTCATTGAATTCTAAATCACAGAGACACTAACAAAGTTCTACTTTCTTTATATAAATGATAATTACTGCAATATCTTTAAATACGTATCTTACTCTGGCTTATGCTGATGCTGAAACAACAGCAACTGATACAGCCCTTGTATTTGTAATTCAGGTATAGCAGGAGTAATCAGTCTTTGGCATTAGAAAATATGCTTTATCAGCAAATGAAGAAGCAAAAATGACACCAAATGATGACAAAGGAATGACCCAGAGTAGTTCCACTGAGCTTTTATCACCATACTGTGTGAAGACCGTCACTGTACAAGGAATGGCTCTTCTCAGCTAAGCCCTCTCCCTAGAGTCAAACTTGTGTTTCCCTTTTAATGAGAAGTAACCACTAGGATGCCTATTACTTAGCTTGCCAGAATGACTACAGATTTATAGGAAAGAAGTAAAAGTAAACACAAATAATTTAAAATGCATTAAGTAAGAAATGCCTTCTTGAACTAAACTATGTTGTACATGTTATCAAAAATGACAGAAAATATTTGTAAATCTTATATTTTCCTTTCTACAAGAAAAGTGGTACCCGTGTCACTCAGTTCAGCAGTGCGAACAGTTGAATGCAATGGAAAACTCTTAAAAGTACTGAGTAGCTTTACTAAACTAAGAGTTCTTGAACGTCAAAAAAAAAAAGGGGGGGGTCGTATGAAATGCATCATTTTCTTAAAATTATTTTTTCAAGACTTTTGATCACCTGGGCCACAATCAATGTACTCTATGCATTGATGTAACCATCTCTTCATTCAACCAGTAGAAAGCAGAAACAATGGATGTAATGTGTTTAGACAAAGGCCTAAGACATGTTAGGCCATAAACATGTACATATGTGAAGTGCAGAGTTATTCCCTTTCAAAGGATGATGTGGAACACAAGACAAACTCCTACGTGGTGTGCAGTAGTGTCTGAGCCTTGCAGATGCAGAGTGCTCAGGATTCTGCAGTATTTGATTGATTTTCATTTATTCCAATACCTCCTTCTACAGCTATTGTTTTTAGTCCGAGCTCTGATACAAAAGAGCTGCAACTCAGGAGGAACAGATATTATGGAGAGCTTCAGAGCTACTTACTCCTTGTCAGAACAGTGAAGAGAACTAGAAAACTTTGGAAATCTATAAACCAGAGAGTACCATCTCAGTACAGCCCACAATTCTCTCTGCTTCATCCCAAGATTTCCAACCCATTCCTTTTCCTTCTTTCCTCAGGAGGATAATGGAAGAAAAATAGCTTATGTATTTCCATGTGAGTATCCCCAAAAGAGAAACAAGGAGTAAATGAGAAGTAGTCATAATTATCTGCCTCATTCCATCCCCAACTGTAATCCTCCTGACCCCAGAGATAGAATGCACATGGATTTAATTGGGATCCCAGGACAAAAAAAAAAAAAAAAAAAAGGCTCATCAAAAAAGATCATGCTCTCAGGTCTTAGCATTCATACCTACCACCGAGCCCTGCTGAAAGGGCAGAGTGACTGCTGGCTGGCAGTGTGTTTGAGGGACCTAATCCAGGTTAAACTGTGTGTGCTGTGATGAGCAGTTTCACAAAGACGTCCTCACTCCTCAAAACTCATGTAGTCCTGCAGGTTCACAGGAAAAATGTCAAAAAGGCAATTGCCACATCCAGCATTTAACAAAATCATATTGGTTTTCACTATTTAGCTATAAACAGTCACTAAGGCTTTAAGCCCTTCATTCTTTCTCTTTACCTCCTACCACTTTCTCACTGTTGATAGTGGACATTCTAACCAGAATATATCTTTCACACGTCAGCTTAAATCACTTCTGTAGGGTGGCATCCCCAACTCACACCATCGAAATGACTCCCCTGTCATAAACCCTGCACTCTCTCTTTTATAACACTTGTTACACCTGTATTCAAAGTTTATCTTTTCTGGGAGGGCACAGTAGCTCATGCCTGTAATCCCAGCACTTTGGGAGGCGGAGGTGGGAGGGTCACTTAAGGCCAGGAGTTCGAACCCAGCCTGGGCAAAGTAGTGAGACCCCATCTCTACCAAAAAATTTTTAAAAATTAGTGGGGTGTGGTGGCACATGCCTACAGTCCTAGCTACACAGGAGGCTCCAGCAGGAGGGTCACTTGAACACAGGGGTTTGAGGGTACAGTGAGCTACGATCACATCACTGCACTCCAGCCTGGGCAACAGAGTGAGGCCCTGTCACTGAAAAACAAAAAATTATCTTAGAATGAAAATTTCATGACAGCATGGACCATCGTGCATCAACACGATATTAACAATGTCCGTTCCTTGCATGGCATAGGTGTTCAATAAAATATCAGTTGAAGAAGTGAATAATATTTTAGTATCAGCTGATGGCAAATATTTTCTGTCATGGGACTCAGTAATAAATTCTCCAGTGAACAGTAAAGCTGTGGATAATATGGATTAACTTTAACATTGCTGTAAAGATGTTAAATTCTTAACATCAAACCCTGCCACCTTTTCCAGGTTCACCTTGCGCCAGATTTCTCTTGCTGTTCATTCACACTATTCTTTCAGTTCTCTGAGTGCACCATGGACTCCTTTACCACTGTGGTTGTTTTAAGGGGCTATTTTCTTTGCTGGAAATGTTCTCAACACCTCCATCTTGCATCTGTTCCTCATATTCTTTCTCACAGTTGAATTTTGCATTTATTTCTATAACCTTTCAATTCCTCACCAGATCGTGCCATCTGTGAAACTAGGACAGTATCTCTTTATGTTCACTATAGTATCCCAATGCCTAGCACAATGTAGGCACCTGATAAATATTGTTGCATGATTAGATGAATGAACAGATGAATATATATTTACTGTGCCTTAGATCATCCAATTATATTACCATCTTCTTATTGGTATTTATTGCAATGTTGCCTTTGAAACTATAAATTTTTCTATTATTTATAAAGTTGCTACCACCATGGAATGCAAGAAAGTAAAAAATGTGCCACCTACTTCATAATTTTTCTCCTTTCTCAAACCAGGAATTTTCCACAGATATACATCAGATTTACCAATTCCCAGATTTCTCCAAGACTATGGCCAGCCTATAGAAAAGGCCGATCTTTGCATCTTCGGCTTTGGCATTATAACTTTGAACCGTGGTCTGTCACATTCAGTGGCCCCTAGCATTGGTCCTTGACAGATATCAACTAAATTACTACTCCATTAACGAGTCCTAAGGACTAGACCAAGGTGGATTTAAGAGCTATGTTAGGCCAGTGCATTCAAATATATCCAAATCACTCACATTTTATGGGAGACATACTCTCTGTCTTCCACATACAGCAGAGATGCACTTGCCCCCTGTTACCCATCTCAGGGTGGATGACTGGAATTGGTATTTTGATTTCTTGCCTCAAAATGGTAAGGTCTGACATCACCCCTCATCAGAAATATCTAAAATTGATTTCTTAAAATGGGATGAAAATGACTTTATGGATTACACAATGGGAGGCTAGACACTGAATTAGACTCAGAACAAATAGATAAAAATTTACTTTGCTTAGTCTCAGGAGTCCTCTGGGCATAGGCCACTTGACAGCATGCAGAGCATTGGCTAGCATTCTTTTCTTTCTCCTCTTTTAAACCACAGGTCATCTTAAGTAGATGTACCCAGTTAGTCAATCCAACAGACTTTTTGCTGATCTGGGACTGATTGTGACAAAATATGTGGGGTGTTGACTTTGGTCACCAAACCCTAGCTATTCAAAACTGCTGACGTGCCAGACACAGGTTTCCTTATAGACATATGTCAAAGGCACACTGCGTGCTCTGGCTCCCAAGCAGGGATTTCAGAGTTGTTGGCTTCCTAGCTTGCAATTTAAACCCTCGGACAAAAGTATTCTTCTGGGTAGTGTGGGTTCAGCGTTTGCAAGCTTTAAGTTGTTTAAGCTGAGTTGCCCCAAAAGGCAATTACTGGCAGCATTTCACTATCTTTCTGCTCTTTTGATGTGGCATTCATTTTGTTTGAGGCATTTGCCTAATTTAGGAGGTATGAAGATGCTGTTAGGATTACCACTCAACCCTTCCTGGGGTTGGAGAATGGGTAGTCTCTGTACAAACCACAGAGCCCACTGCATAAATTGAAACACTAAAAAAAAACACACACACACAACTGTACATCTAGCATAATGAATCCAGCATCTAGGCAAAAACGAGCTGATGTTTACAGATTACAGGGTAACAAGGGGTTACCCTCTTGGGTTGTCACACTTTGCCCCCTTCTCTCATGAGACATTGTAATAAATGTTTTGAAAAGCAGCAAAAACAAAAACAAAACAACACCCTGCCTTTAGATTAACATTGGAAAGGTATATTCACAACTCTTTTCCCTGACTGTAACTTT